CGCACACAGAACGCACGGCCCATTCAAACATGCATTTATGCCTGTCTATATATGGAATACATCCAGAACCGCTGGCAGGTGATGATAAACACTGTGTTTGTGCGGTTTGACACAAAGAACACAAGAGATAAATAGATTCGATTGACAGTCTTATTGCAGAGCTGAACACTGAGGATGATGACAATTGTCAGTTGCGTAGTTTGACATCTAAACAAAGGGAACGAAACATGTGAGATAAGTTCTAGCTATGAAGATGAATCACTGTATACGGACAAAGCATGATGAACTAAATATGCATGGTTAAACTTAATATATGATGAGAACAAAAATTAACAAGCGGCTATATTTTCGTAAGAAATCTGAGGACGAAAACGCATAAATAGGAAAATAAACAAAGCTTAGCATCCCAGGTTAAGGAAAAAGGAAGCCACACCTGAACTACAACCCCTTCTACAAGCTGCTCATCAACCAGCCAGCTCCAGGCTCCTCCCTACTGCTCCACTTACAGGTCAAAGTTAACCCTCCCCTCGCCACTCTTCACATCAAAACACGCATGTGGGAATGAGCGCACGTATGCGTGCCCGTCCAAAGGCGGCCACGGTGGTAGCGGCTTCCGGGGGGAATTGAAATTAATGAGTGTAATCAGAAGCAAACAGCGAGCCAGGCAAGGGCAATTAATACAAGCAAAGTGAGCAGAGCTGCTGGTTTGCTCGGCCAGGCATGGCTGGAGCTGAAGAGATGGAGGATTAAGATGCAACCACAGACAAACTCCACAGCTTTTCCACACGCAGCAGATGTCCGCGGAGGGAAGGCGCTGGGAGCCTGGCACCGACACGCATCCGCCAACCGGCCGCTTGGTCAGCCCGGCCCAATACAAGCTGACAACCTCCTGGCAGCATTCAGATAACACCATCTTCTCTGTTTAGTTTGAGAGCCAAGGGAAGGAACTCACGGGGGCCCCTGCGCTGCATACGAAAGGGACTCATTGCAAAGCTGCACAGTGGTGCCACTATGTGTGAAAGAGAGAGATAGAGGAACATAAAGAGATAGAGAGAGAGAGAGAGAGAGAGAGAGAGGAGGGGAGGGCATTGTGTGCGAGCTCAACTCAAGTACATCTCAATGTGAGGGACATTTTTTTGTTACCCCTGCGTTGCCTCCATGTTTTTCTGATTGAAACATCCTTGAATGCATTCATTCCTTCAAGCATACATAATTGCCCCAGTAAAAATAAACACATTGGATCCAGCTGCCTTCAGAAACGGCTCTGCTTGTTGTTTCCTTTAATTGACGCTAAACGACAGTGTCACCGCCCAGGATCTTTTCACTCAGCCCTCGCTTTGTTGCCTTGAATGGCGTTTGTTCCCCCGACGGTCTCGCGTTTCCACTGTTTACGTGAGATAATGATGCATGTGTAAGGGTACACTGCCAGGCCAAGAGAGGGGCTGATATGAACTGTGACGGCTGCCTCATCGGTCCAAAACAATTTGCGTTAAAGTGGGGCAATGATGTCAGCTCAGACATGGGGGAATGAAATAAAGACAGATGCGACAGGGGGAATATGCGATGCACGGAGAGAATAAAGGCCCGCGTACACTCCCAATAAGGTCGTAAAGGTCAGCTGGGGTCAAACAAACACGATTGTACATCATGTTGTGAACTTATTACCTCGTTGTGTAATCCCCTTAAAATGTAAATGTTATTACTTTGCATGCATCTCGAGTCTAAGTGGGGATTTCCAGGATATTACTACTACACTGTGGCAAGCGTGGAATATAATGTCTTTCTCTTTAGCTATGCTTAAAATGCAGTAATTACCACGTGTAGAAGCAGAGCAGTACAATTCAGCTAAAGATCCAGGAACGACCGCAGCGCCCCGTCAGCTCCATAACCCCAAGAGAGAAAAAAATAAAACCCTTCCTCAGAAAAAGATAAAGTATTAGGTTTGAGAACTGTGGATTGCGGCTTTAACGCCAAACACTGTTGACCTCATTTCCTCCTCCACAAGTTAGGCGCTTGTTTCGGTGCAGTTTGGGAGCGTACCGGTTTATGAAACACTGCGGGGTTGGAGGGCAAGTCCAACAAAATGACAACGCTGTCAAAGTTTGATTGAATTCTCCTCCAGCAGCATTTTTTTTTTTTGTCAACAGGAGAAATATCATTGCCTATTGATTGATTTGTTTCTCATTCATAAAGCCGGTGCTTTGTCGTCCACAGAATGAAGACTACAGAGAATTCGGTGTTAAAGCCGTCGCTGGCACCGTCGCCGGTACAGATAAATTACTGACACTTCAATAACTTGTGAAATACGTGCTTCTGTGCCTATGAAAGCCAACAGTTTAACGTGTCTCTCTTTTAGAACCCCATTACTTTAATGGAGGACAATTCGAGCTTGAGAAATTTACAGTTTTCCTCATGGATGTGGCCAGATAGAAATTGCCTGGTAGCATCAGCTCACTCAGACTGCACTTGTGAATTGATGAGTTTCCTCAATAGTGCTAAAAGGATTTTTTTTTTTCTCTTGCTCTTTTCATAAATAGGGATCAAAGTCTTTCCTCTTTCTGGTGTAACGTGTCTGCCCTCTTCTGGCCTCATGTTGTCATGAGGTCAAGTCGTGTTGGCTTATTGCTGCCTAAAACAAATAATTAACACGGTGTATGCCGTTCCAAATCAGATTGTAAAAATAAATAAACAAGACTTTTACCTATAGACAAACACTTTATAGTAGTTCTGTGTTGACGTTTATTCTTTACGGTGGAAGCATATAGCAAAGCCGCTAATTACTCATAGTACATAAGTGTGATCGTTTTATAGAAATAAAATTAATTCCTCATTTTGCACTAAAAGCTTGGACCTACTTGCAGAATTCCTTGAACTGCTGGAGAGCACCCTGGGTATTCCCGGACCTTACTTCAAGAATTAATGCTCCAGTAATATTTAAAAACTACACTTTGGCATAAATAGATCTGTAAAGCCATCAGAATGTCAGCACGAAGCCTTTAATAAAGTCATCTTTGATAACTAATGAGGCTGTTTCTCGGAGCACGATGAACATCCAATCAGTCACAATCAAAGTAAAAAGTGGAGAAAAAAAATGGTTTCACAATTAAAGCAGCAGTTTCCATGGTTCACCACCCATAAGCTATTTCAAAGAGGCATGGATCTAAGTTTTAGCATGTTTCTTTATGAGAAACACACTTCCCCATAATAGGAGGGGAAAGGAAAAAAAGAAAAAGCTCTCCGGAGTCAAAACCATCACCAGACGCCACTGCAGCGGTATTTTTGAACCCGTGCGTCAGAGCTGCGCCCGTGCCCAAACCGCTTATTAAAACGCAGGGAAGCCAAGTGCCATAAAGACAGAAGGCGAGCAGCTTGTTATTATTCTTTCTGAGAGGTGAACAGGCTGAGATCAATGGCTGCAGTGGTTTCCCCTCACCACAACTATGGCCCTGTAAAGCACAAAGGGCCGTGCGGCTCCGACCCATACAGTCACAGATATTAACTATTCCAGGGGCCTTTGAAAGAGGCTGCCAAGAATAATTTCCCACATGTAACATTTCCCACCAAAGCCACACAGTCATACTGGCATATTCTGTGCCCCACCAGGTCCTGCAGGCCCTGCCTAGGATGACAGAGTAGAATCAATGAAAAAACAGATCCGCTTTATTAAAAAGGAGTCAACTTGGAGCGTTTGATTAATTATTTAGTTGTGTCACCATAATGAGGCATATACTGTACAACATATCAGCACAAAAGCTGCATTGTGCAGCTGAAATGTGGCTTAAAAGCCCCATCGAGACACAAGCGAAGCTGCTGTGGGGACCAAGCCTTCATTTCTAAAACTAATGGACTCTGACATCGCCTCTCATTTGTTGTTGCTCAGTGTTTGATTGTACACCGAGGATCTGTGTTAATGATGACAAGGCTGGAATACCCCCCGTCTCCATGTGATCTGGATCGCACCATGTGTGTTGACAAGCAGTCAGCCCTGCCCTAACGATTTGCATATTGAGATCAGAATAAATTGCAACTGGAAAAACAAGAAAGCATTTCAACACCAGTGGGTAGGATGTCAGCAATAAGGTACACATTACACGCCAATACCACATGTAAATGGAGCATTATACTCACCCTGAGCTTCCTGATATTTATCCTGAAGAATTAAGAGCTTTATGCATGTCATATGCCATTTTGGCCAGTAAAAACAGTCAGGCATGAAACAGTGGAGCTGTTCTTCCTGACCAGAGTTTATAAATGTGTATTTTTACATCTGATGACGGACCGAGCGGTGACATCACTCCAGCGTGGTGTGGCAGGCTGCCAGCCTGTAGTGACACCTGCAATCAAACCTGCCTAAAGGGCACGAAACTGGTCAAATTTAATGGACTCTGGCACAAGATATCAGCCAGTGGCAGAGCTGTCAGGCTTGCACGCCCAGAGCGGCAAACTGATCAAGATGCTGTCCTTCAATGCATACATGTTTGCCCTCTGCTGCCATGTGAGGAGTGGAACTTAGAAAACACAGCGACAGTTAACCAGGAGCCACGGGACTGCACAGCATCTGGACTCTATGAGGACGCAGAGTGATTCAAAGTGATCCTTGCTGTGTTTTAGTTTGGGACAAATTAGTCTTAAATCTCATGCAAATTTTGTGCTGAATTACACAGAAAGCAAACACGTGCTCTTACAAACTACAGGATGTTAATGTTTCCCCACAGCTGCGCGATTCTGACAAAATGTTCTGAACAATATTTGATGTAGTGAAGCAGCTGATCGAGACGACGGCTGGTGACTCAGCAGTACGCATTACACCAACAGGCATCGTGTTATTGTCTGTGAGAGGAAGAGATAACAAAAATTTAAACAGCACAAATTAATCATAAGACACAATTCATCAGGAGGTGACGATTTGAAAGACCAGTGTCTACAAACTACACGATCATCAGCCCCAGCATTTCAATGTGTTTCAACAATAAACCTGCAAGAAAAAACAACATTTCAGATCATTTGATGAACATATTTGTTTTAATATCAGACATACCCACCACTGGTTCTGAATGATAGGCAAAATAAAAAAAATAAAACAACTTATTGCAATTATTTTGACAGATATTGTGATACGAGTGAAAATCTTACTGTCGATATTTGCATTTCTTCTCTAATCAAGCGGATATAAAAATGATGTGATGAGCAGATTCGTCTGGAGATGATGATTTACAGGCCAGGGATTGTCTGTAGCACCACAAATGCTTCATTTATGTTGTGACACGTTTTACATCTGTCAAAAAAATTGCACTTTATGCCATTTGTATATTGCACTTAGTCATGTTTCCCGATCCACCACAGACCTTTGCTTAAAACTAATAATCTGTAAACATTCCCGGCCTTAACTCATCCCATGAAAACACAGAGGCCTCAGATTATACAACACAAAATTAATTTTACTTGACTTTGTACTGTCAAATGAAGAAACAAAACATTTCTTCTGTTTGCAACCTACAGCTCAACAACAATCACTGAAGTCTTTGTGTGGAATTCGTCATATATTTACACGAGCATATCCAAGACTATATCAGATATCGCATAAGGCACAGGCTGCCAAAGCCCAACATGCTTTGGAAGAAGCTAGAGTATGTTTAACCTTTTAACAAAGTGGTCCCAGAACAGCGGCAACAGAGGTGTGCTTTTTCTAATAAGCAAAAAGAAACCTACCTTGGACCATTTTTTTTTTTTAAAGTTGCATCATTGCTGGAATAGTGTCCAACCACCCGTACATTCTGACATGATGCTTAAGTTAAAAGTCAGGTTTGTCAGGAAAGTTGCCACGTTTAAAATCTGACCTCAACCTGCCAGTGTGATGTGGTCACGCAGTAAAAGAGAGCAGTCAAAAGGAACCTCCATCCTGACTGTCATCAGCTGCAGAGTAGCTGCAGTTCACTGGAGTTGTAGCTTAAAGCAGGCGCTGCCACCTCCGCTCCCCCGAGGGCCTCCTGTCCTTTAATCTTCAGGTTGACAAACTTTATCTTCCAGCTGTTGTGGTCTAGCGGGGAACGAATAAGGCCAAATATTTGCTCGAAGATGCCGAGACAGGCTGCATCTCTGTGGATGGTCCCGGCCACGGCCACCAGCACCAGGCCGTGCGGGGAGACCAGGGCCTTGAGGCCGAAAGGCTCCAGGTTTGGACAGAAGAGGAGGCGCTCTTCCTTGGTCAGGGCCGAAAGACGAAGGCTAACTAGCTCAGCACCCAGAAAGTCTTCCATCTGTTCACTGCCAGTTCTGAAAACGATGCACCAGAGTTAGTTTTTGGGTTATTTTTCTCCTTCAAGTTACCGTGTAGGTAAGAAAATGCAAACCACAGAGTCACATCATCAGTATCAACTGGTCTTGACTGAATTATTAATTTAAGGTGCAGATTACAACAGCAGTTCGTATAGCCCTGTGCTATATCAGTTAAATGTCAATGACTCTGTAACCGTATGACCCTAAATAACTGCAATATTTCTAAGTTGGAGTATTGTTTACCATCAACATTCAAAAACAAATATTTGAAACACTATGCTAAAAACAAAGGCCACAAAGTACAAACTCAAAGCAACAAAAGTAAATAAACCTGTGATCACTGACATACAGGTCAGAGAACTTGTGATTACTGACAAAAAAAACAAGTACAAAGTGTTTTCCATTCAGCCTGACTACATGGACATGGATCTAAAATGATCTTTACCTGTCCCTAATCATACCAAAGTCTTAGCTGGCAAATTGATTCCCAGTTTATAAAAACTTGACAGAGGAGGAATATTCAAGCACACTATCAAAACCCTTTATTGCATTGACTTCTTACTGTGTAATCTGTATTTTCAATTTAGTTTGTTTTTAATTTTACATAAGAGCAAATTCCTACTGTTCACTTTAAGAGTAAGGCAACCACTGTTGGTGATCATTTAAAATCAAAGTGACATTGCACTGAGGTGTCACCATTTCTGTTTCATACTGTATATCACTGTTAATGCAGTTCTTACCGGGAGAGGAGGCGGAGCTTCACATCTGGCCAGAAGTGTTGTGGTCCCCAGTCTTGAGGCTGTTGGCCTAGTGACGGGTTCTGACTGTTCATGAGCTGGAAGAACCACTGGCAGAACTGCTGCCCGAGGACCAGCGGGTCAAAGCCCACCCCAGCCTTCATATCCGTGGAGTCTGATGCTGTCTCTGTGGGCCGTTGCCTTCGGTTCCCATCTGGGTCTCCTCGATGGCTCTCGTCAACTACAACCTTAATGGAATGACAGGTTTTTGCGACACATTGCTCTGTAGGCCTCTAAACACTACAAGAACTACGGTCCAACAACAAAAGCCTCAAAACGCCGAACCGGGAGCCTTTTTTTTCCTTGTAGCAAGAGATCAAAGCACTGGTCATTTCTGAAACACCACTACGACCTTTATTACATCTTATTCTGCACACATACGGAAAAGTCTTCAGACTGATTCTGGGGAAAATAAAAAGCAAGTCCTGCTCAGAATTCAAAGCTTGTGACAAGATGATTTTTTTTAATAACTTCCATTCAGCATGGATTTAAGTTGGCCTATATGCTAAAACATTAGCCCTGCTTTATTTTAAAGGTCATTTCGTTGTTAAACCAACAACTGCTGGTGCTTCTACCTACGATGTAAAGAGAATAAAAGCCCAGTGTATTTAGAGCACAAAGCATTATTTTAATGACACCAGCATTTATGTGGCAATAAATTCCCAACATTGAAAACTGTCCCACTGAACAGCTTTAACAGAAGATCAAATTGTGTCATTATGACTTTGTCTTCCTTGTAATCATCAGATGAAGACACCGGTATTAAATAAATGAACATTGCCACATACCTCTGAAGCCTACTTTTCATGTATTGAGTTATTAACATATAATAAAGACCCACTCTGGTGAAAATCTGTTTGTTTGTTTTTTTACCTTGTTTAAATGTCTATAAGGTGTTTTCTTCATCATGTGATTTAGTAGCGTAGAGACGTTTTAAAGTGTTTGAGCAAAGTCAGAGCTCAAGTTGCACATTTCAGAGGATATAGAGACAGAGACCAGTTTATAGAGCTTAATCATTGACCAAGCTTTTGGAAACTGGCTTCTGATTAGTAAGAAAGAAGGAAAATATGCCAAGAAATGGTGGTTTCATATTATTAGACTTCAAGTTATTCACCATTTTCTGTGTACAGTTAATTACACTGTAATGCCCCCTCTGTCTCAGGCTAAGTCCTCTTTGCGTTGTCATGTCAAACCTCCTTTTCTTACCTTTGCTGACGACCAAAGCTGCAGTGTCCTTCTCACCAGCTGGTGTTTCTCACTGTTTGGGGGCATCGCCACCCCTTCCTTGGCCAGGTACTTAAATATCAGCTCACGCTGAACCTTCTTCCTTCTCAGGAGCTCTTCAGCATCTTTAGTGAAGGAGAGGATTGTCTCCGTAGCCTCTACATTGACAAAGAAACAGAAAGTACAAGACAAGATAAAGATCCTATATTGTGCACCTTTTCTGCAACTTAACCAAAGTCTCACAACAAGTGTGTCGTTCATGTTTTCAGCTGATTCAGAGATGGGTTGTTTCACTGTGACTGTATAAGCTCTGGTTTTAGCTCTGTTCCAAATCGGCTGTTTCAGTGTCTGCAGCCTTAAACGCAGCTGAGTTGCTGCTGTCCACGCCCCTTCAGGAAAAAGACTCTGAGTGTGTGAAATCAGAACTTTGAATCACTTACAACCTTCTCTTAATTATTTTACATAGAAATAAATTCACAGCACACCCGTCACTTTTAACTGATTATATGATTAGTTTGTCAGACAACAACACAAATCAGTAGTGTAGTGATGCAAACTGGCAGTTTGGAAATGTGAGTGACTGCAGTTTCAGTCCTGGTTCTGTTTACTGACAACCCAAACAGAAAAACACATTGATGTTGATGTAAATACGGCAGGCAACATGATAAAGCAGTGACCCACCCCATGTTCGTTTATTGGTTTCACGTTGGTTTTAAAGTTCCCACCACTTCTGAATGGCTTCACCATTACAATCTCATCATAGTTAAGGGCTTGAAAAGTGCCAGGAGTGAACATTTTCTTCATTCTGGTAGTTTAATCATAGCAACTAGACTTGCTTGAGTTCCTTGAAGACGCGTCACCTCTCATCCAAGAGGCTTCATCAGGTCTGACTGACTAGATAGGAGTTCCAGATATCCTTATGGAGCTGTTAACACCTGAGTTTCGGTTTCCATTATGGGTTTGTTGCTCCTCCTCCTCGTTACAACAAGGGAACAACAAACCCCCAACTGAAACTCAGGTGTTAGTGGCTCCTTAAGTATATCTGGAACTCCCAAGTAGTCAGTCAGAACTGATGAAGCCTCTTGGATGAGAGGTGGAACGTCTTCAAGGAACTCAAGTAAATCCGGTTGCGACGATTAAACTACGAGGATAACCATGACCTGGGTGACTGAGAATCCTCCCAGACAACTAAAAGTCTCATTATCTTAACATGGTGCACTTTAGCTAGGTAGTCGCGACATAACACCGGAAATGACGGTTTTTCTATCCCTGGTGTCACAACACTGGCAAATAGTTATTTCCTTATTGGTTAAAGTATAAAACAAATATCTCAGTTCACGGCTGAGGAGACTCTGAGCCTCACTGGCAGACTTTGCATCCTCGGTTAGCTGACTTCCTGTGCTAGCTGCTACACATCGAGAGCTCACCTGAGATGTTTTCCACAACTATCATCTTATTGGTCACCGTGTCACTGAGCGACAGAAGGTCACTTTTGCTCATTAAGTTCAGGATTTTTGTAAATCCAACGCGCTCTGTCTCTGTTAGTCCTTGCATCTTCGCAAAACAAACATTTAACTGCTTTCGTCCATTTGTGTCCTGCACAGAAATGTGTCCGTACAGGAACAAGCGTCGGTGCGGATTCGGTCCGCGCAAAGCTACGGTTGCTATGGTGCTACTGCTGCGTTCAGAGGGACTCGGAAGTTGGAAGCCTTCCAGATAGCGTGGGATTAAAAGGCCTTTAAAGTTTGAACTGTGATGGTAACCTAGATTTTAAGAGTGAACTCATTATGGCTGCGTCCAAAAACGTTGCCGAGCCTCTGTGACAGCCTATTATATCCGCCATTTACCTTCTTCTGTTTTGTTGATTAATCCAGATGGTGTTGCAAGTAGTCATATGCTTCTTTACATGAGGAGACAAGTTTGTCGCAGTCAGTAAATCTGATTGTTTACATTCACATCATTTGTCGTGGAAGCTTTAAACTTGGAATTAAACTTTGGAAACGTCCGAACGCAGCATGAATTACACTGGCTGCCTTCACAGCTGTAGAAACAGCACTTAATACTCATTTATGACATTACTTGAATCTGCTCACTTAAAGGGGTTGTTATGTTTATCTCCCTCCACACCATCACTTTTGGGGAGATTTTTAAAAGAAAATCTTTCCCATACAAGCTGTGGTTTCAACTGATTTTCACTGATTATCTGTTCCCACAAGCCAGAATTTTCATTATCAGTTTTGCAGTAGCTTGTACAATATTTTCACTTTTTATGTTTGCAAGATAAATAATAATTAATTTTGAATAACATTATAGGCTATCAAGTTTGAGCTCACACTCAAAATTTGTGACTTGCTAAACCAAGTAATTATATACCATGGAAGCTGGGGTGCTGAAATTTCTCCCTCATGGTGATTTGCTTTGTGATTTCATTTCGCTTTCAGTTCAACTTCACCAATAAAAGCGAGGCCACCTCCAGGATCTGGCTCAACAGTTAACCGTCTAACCAGAATTCAGTCATGTTTTCATATGATATCATGTTTCCAGGTGTGATCAGGTGACAAGGAAGAGAGGGCAGATAAATACAGAGGGTCACATCTTCTGTTGTGTCTATTAGGATACGCTGCTGCATACAATTAAGGTAAATCCTTTAGGCTCAGGTATAAACTACAGTTTTTATTATACCCTTAAAGTCAGATTTGAGTTTACAAAAGCAAAAGATATGCCTTTATGTCAAAAAAAAAATTGTCGTTTGTGATGATATAAGAATGTAAATTTACGAGCAACACCTGAAGGCATCATGAGACGAGCGAGCTAGCTTGACTACCAGAGCTAATGTGGACTAGCCTGCGCAGCGGAGAGCCACAGTGGGGGCAGACGGGCAATTTACCTGCGAGATAAGCCCTTCAGCTGGCGCTACGCTCACTCATCGTGTGATATGTTCTAATTAAAGTGGCCAAGAGGATCCCTTCTGTGATTTTTTATTACTGTTCTCCCGCGTTCAGAAAGGGAGCCGAACCCCGAAAGGTACCGTCCTGTTATCACTTGCTAATATATCCTCCGCTTGTTATCGCCTAATTTAGCCTCGTAGCTAGTGTGCGCTTAATGTTGCTTTAAATAGTGTTGTAGCCCACATGCTAGCAAAACAGCACGGTTTTATCGTTAGTTCAATTGCTGTTCACTCAAAGTAACTCGTTTTTTTCCGGAGTTTCGTAATAACGTGTTTGTTTAAATACAATACTTGTGTCTTAAGTGCTTTTCTACAAATAGACGTCCTCATATAACCTGCCAGAGATGTTTCAGTTCATTTAAAAATCATTTTCCATCAAAATCTGGGACAGTGTAAACTTCTTAAAATAAAATCAAAATACATGTGAATGTGCTATAATCATGTCCAATCTCGTTGTACACTGTATAATGACAATAAAGGGCATTTATTCATTCATTTAAAATCAGTGTACCATGCATGCACAAGCAGCATGCATAAATAAACTGTAAAGTGTAATACCTGTGTAACTACATTAAAGCTAAAACCTTGGACTTTTCTCTGTGATTATAAAGTCAAAACAACACAGGGTGTGTCCTGATCCACCACCTGATAAAGCTTCATTAGTAATAAACGACTGCTGGCCTGAGGTTATGTCAGAGTGAATGAGGAACTTTGTCATTGCTTAACTTCACACAAATCCCATTGCAGATGAAATGCTCACTACGCTGGGCTGCTTTCAACACAAGGAAACACGCATGCCTGATTTCAACACAAGGAAATGTTTAGAAATGAACCGTGCCAAGGACTTTGACTCATGTTAGAACAGTTCATTAACCTCCTAAAAGGGCTGTAAAGTTACGGATCAAATCCCGCAAGCGGCCCAGAGGACACCACGCTAAACTGCTGCTGAAATAAGTTAATATAGGTGAAGTCACATGTATTAACATAAAACTACATGTACAACATATTAAGTATGCAATTACACACGTCTACACAGCCACACTGAGAAGCAAAGGTATATAATATCATATCTTGCTAAGATTAACTTGTGTGTCCAGCTGCTGCCCCAGAACAGGGTTCAGTTTAAGGCTAAAAGGCGGATCCAATCCACTGCATGTTTACGTAGGGACTCGTGTTTGATAACTCAGTATCCACGAGCAGAAAGAGGACCAACAGAGATAAACTGTTTTCAAATTCCTCATGTTGCTCTCTTGACTTTTTCCTGATTGCTGCAGATGGGGGAGTTTGCGAGCAGCGCTCTCGGCCGGGTCACGGTGTACTCCATCCAGGGCTGCCCACACTGTGTGCAGGCCAAGGCCACCCTCGGGCGCCTGGGAGTACCAGTGAGTGAAGTGGACGTCGGTGTTCATTCAGAGCTGAGAGGGAGAGTGAAGGAGCTGACTGGACGCAGCACAGTCCCTCAGATCTTCTTTAACAGCGTTCATGTCGGGGGTAACGACGACCTGCAGAAACTGGTGAGAAAACAACTTTGACCAGTGAACTCACTGTGTGATGTTTATTTTTAAACCGTGTCAAAAATCTCCTTGCATCTGCTAATATTAAAAAAATGAAAACACAAATAAGTTGCTGCTCACCTTCTCAGGCTCCTGAAGAGCTCCAGAGGTTGGTGAGTCTGGTCAAGGACGAGCCTCTTCCAGCTGACGCGCCACCATTACCCGACCCCGACAAGAACCAGTCCGAGGATCCAGCTGGCGAGACTGACGGAGGTGAGGGATTTGTTGTGCTGAGTTTTTGCCTTCTTTAGGTCATTAGCAGTACCAGTTATGGAGCAGACATTATTCTGTGATGAAAGCCGTGTCTGTCATTCATATTTTTGTTCAGTGCTTTTTGTTATTTTGGTGCAATAACTACAACATTCATGAAATGATTCAGAAGATCTGAGTCACATTGATTCAATCTGCTCCGGAATGGCCCCTGAAATCGTGCAGTGAACCACGTTAAATACAGCTGGAGCAACAACTACAGTTTCAAACAAATTTCTTCCTACATCCAAGGTCGGCACTGACCAGAGGCAGCAGGGCCGGTTTTGCATCGTCATTTTTGTTTGAGGATGAGCCAAGAACAATGAGCGGTTATGAAATACTGCTGGCTGATGTGGACATGCTGGTATATTTAGGTAACAGCAGGTGTGTGTGTGTGTGTGTGTGTGTGTGTGTGTGCGTGCTCATCTCTTGCCCACATACTTGATAGTTGATACAGGGAACTGGATCCTGTGGATGAGCCGAGCAGCACCAGGCTGCGCTACAGAACCTCATTAGACGTGATTATAAGGCTCACTACAAAGTGAAAAAGTCTTTTCCCTGGACAACGTAGACAGATGTTTATGGAAAAATATTTAAATTCCATGTTGGCTCTGAGGTCTTGCAACATCATCACGAGTTAGTTATTGGTGTTTGTAGAGAGTTGCTTTAGTTTCACTGGTTCTTGACCCCTCGAAAGTCTTACTTGTCCCTTTTATGTTTGTACACTGGAGTTGTCTCAGTAACAGGACGAGCACACAATCTGCTTTGGAGCTTAATGTTAATGCATTAACGAAAAAACTGAGCAAATTTATTGTAACTTATCAATTTAATGTAACTGCGCCGCTCGGATAGCAGTTTTGTTTACATTTTCGATGCAGCAGTTTGCCTTTTGAACAACATTGTGTTATCGTCGACACCTCTTAACATCCAGCTGGCAGAAAGTATTAATGTCGTATTGATATGTTAGTTTGTGTTCATAGATTATTCATTTGAGAGCACAAAAATGTAATTTGCGTCCACAAATAATTTATCTGACAGCACAAATGAGCTTTCTTCTCTCTGCTTCGGTCCAGCAGTCAAAACAAACCCGTTGCATGTAGAGAACAAGACGTTCATTCACGTGCCTGAGCAGCACAACATGTTTCAGTTTGTCTGAAGTATTTTATTTCTTTCCCTAAATAAAGCAGAAAGACGTGACTCGGTCCAATCCAGGCAACACTTTGTTACTGTTCACATGCTGGACACTAGTCTTCTATCGAGGTTTGAACATGTGTATTTCTTTGTGTTTGTACATGTTTGGCTTGGGATGCTCCTGCCCTCACAGAGTTTATGTGTGAGAAAGATGAGCTGGCGGACCTGGTACAGGACCTGAAACATGGCAGTGTGATTGGCTGTCATAGGAAGGGACTGACTTTACACAAAAAGAGCTTCACAGGCAGTGAGCTGGTTGACTGGCTGCAGAAAGATAAGGGCATGGGTAAGTAAGGCTGTAGATGCTCTCTGTTGTGAAGTAAACTGATCTGTCTCAGAGTCCTGATTCATAGAACGCTTAGTCAGATCCAGCTTTGTCAACACTTGACTGTGGCCATGTGTGTGCTAGCCAGCGCCGAGGCCTGTAAAACAGGCCAGGCATTGTTGCAGAAGAAGTACATGGTCAGTGTACATGGCAGTGGGCAGCAGGATGGCAGTTTTGGCGAAGGAAAAGACTCCATGGACGCACTGTACAGGCTGCTGGAGGACGACCCTCATTCAGCTCTCAACTCAGGACAGACTGCAAGCTGCAGCCCCATACAGGGTAGGTCAGGGCTGGACTTGGCTCGGCCTGTACACGTATCGCATTCCAGCTTCACGCTGAGTGATGTCCTTCAGTGCTCTCTAACCCCTGTTACTTCTTGGCTGCTGGTTTGGTGTGTGGGCCTTCTGGGTTTGCTTGGGTTTGTGTTTCACGCTGGTGAAGTTTGTGATGTTAAGAGCTGAAGTAGGCGTTCATGGTATAGCTGATAAAAGCCTCTCAACGACGACAAAGCATGAGCAGAAGTTTCTTATGACCTCACAAAATTCTGTATTAAAAAAAGAAAACAACACATAACTTCGTGGAGCTTTTAACTTTAATTCACAATTAGTGCACTGAGATAACGAAGCAAACCTATCAGCAGATAAGGACAAAGTGGAAAGCTTCAGAATAAAACTAATAAATGGAGCTTTGGTTTTAATTCAGTCAGAAATGATGCAATATGTATGATAATATATCGCCTGACTTTGTTTGAGCGAGCTGAGTAAAAGTCCTGTGATTCTGATGAACGACTGATGAATGGATCCTGATGCAGAACACATTGTTCACATGGTGTGGAGTTATTTTATTCCAATGTTTCAGTCGGATTAGAGGAGACACTGGCCTAAAACACTCCATTGCAGCTCTGTCAAATTAACACTCTGGTTTCATTTCTTCTCTCCCTGGTGGTGGTGGTGAGCCCTGTTGCTTGGTGTTTCTCGCTGAATGTTGCTCACCTCCAGAGGCTAACGGCTGCTCTCTGCTGCACACCGCCGCTGCTGCTGCAAGCGTCACGATCTAATTTGCACCAAAGTTCGCCTGATCTTGATCGCAGCTTGTATGTCGTTCTCCTGTTTAGAAGGTTTTCCACACTTTCACTGCCTTCTTATGTTTTGCTCCCCGGTTAGAACCAACAAATACTGTCTGAACTTATGTTTAACGTTTGGAAGTTTGGCTATGAACTGTGTGGATGGAGAATGTCTGACGGGTTCTGGGCTTTACTGACACAGTTGCTCTTTGTATGTCCGTGTTAGTAACATTCAAATATTGGTTTGGCTTGTATCACCAGACAAAGCAGCTGACCATAACAAACAGTTATAATCTCTCTCTGTCTCTCCTCACAGCTGCTGAGCTCTCTTTGCTTTTACGGGACATGATTCTGAAATTGTTTTCGGAGCATCTCTCTGCCGATGGCAAGGTAACGTCCTCACTGAGGCTTCTGACTCATTACATGTGTTCATCTGGGCACGTGACTGTAGCTGCAGGTTGTTTAGGAATCTGTGCCACGAGCAGAGCACAGTTTAGTTTTAAAGGCTGTCAGGACCTGTCTTTAGAAAGATCAATTCTGTGCTTACTTTAGATCCTATATATATCATATGTATTGTTGTGCTTGCTCCTACAGTCTGTGGACTACAAAGGCATGTCCATGAGCCCTGCGTTTGAGCGGTACACTGAGCTCGCCATTCAGCTGCAGAGGGTGGAGCTGCTCTCCCTGAGCCGTGAGGAGAAACTGGCCTTCTTCATCAACATCTACAATGCCTTAGTCATCCACGGGAACCTTCGCCTGGGGGCTCCCACCAACATGTGGCAAAGATACAGAGTAGGTTCCCTTAAAAACGCTGCCTTGTTTCCCAAAACCATCATGTGTCTCGTCCTTAAACCGTTCCACTGATATGAAGCAATGCAGATGTTCCTGGATCTTTAAAGACCTCATTTGACGCTAAACCCCATCAGCAGGAATGAATGGCATTAACTGTTGTGTTTCTGCGCCGTTTCGTAGTTCTTCAACTATGTGAGCTACCTGATTGGAGGAGAAGTATTCACATTACAAGACATTGAGAACGGTGTTCTGAGAGGGAACAGAAAAGGCATGGCACAGCTCCGACGGCCCTTCTCCAAAACAGACCCCCGACTACAAGTATTCAGACTTTCTGTTCAGTCACACCTGAATACCACTAGAGGACGGTAGAGCTCGCTGTAACTAATGCTCACTTCCCTTGTCGTCCACTAGGTGGCGCTTCCAGATGCTGAGCCCCTCGTTCACTTTGCCTTGAACTGTGGTGCAAAGGGCTGCCCACCTATTAAAACATACACCCCACAGGTAAGTGGATCCAGGTTCTGGTTTCATTGTGTAATTAGTCGTAAGTAACGGGCACATCTTAGGCAGTTTATCATTTACTGTACAACATGCTCAGGGCTCCAGACTGCGACCAAAGCGGTCACATATGCAACCTTTTTTGGTGTTAAAATTTCAAGTGGTCACATTGGTGTGAGTGCATGATGATCATTAAGCTGTAATGGTGTCGCAGTAACCGGTACAGGAAGCTGCTGTGTTGACCACAGAGGTGGAAAGTAGAACGTTTATAACTTCGGTGTGCTGCGCGGTTCACGCTTAAAAATGTTTCCCACTCACTGAAAAGGGTGCATGTAAAGAAAAATCCCTCGGTTTCATTTTGAATAAATCTGACATTAGAACACCTGGTTCACTCGTTTTAAAGTCGCACACCTATCAGAGCACACCACAGCAGCTACCGCAGCCTGCAATGTGGGGCATTCAGGGCCCATCAGTAAATTGTAGAGTCTATCGATAAGAAGACGTCCTGCAAGTTCTATGTTTTGCCTGTGACAAAGTGGGAGGTGTGACCTGATGAGAAAGTCGGTGCCACCAGTGAAGAAGTGAGTCTGGAGCCCTGATGTGTTCATAACACTGGACTGGTCATAAATCAGCTTTTATTTCCTCCAACCTGTCAGGACATTGACAGCCAGCTCCGCACAGCAGCCGAGGCCTTCCTGGAGAACGATGACGCCTGTGTGGTGGATTCTGGGAAAAAAGAAGTGCGACTCAGTCAGATATTCAAGTGGTACAAGGCCGACTTTGGAGGCACTGATGAGAAGGTAACGCTGCTTCCAGCCCATTCATGTGTGAATATAGGGACAGTGAATTAATATCTCTCTGGTTAGATTTTTATTCACTTGCTGCAACAAAAATCAGCTTTCCTCTTCTGCTTTGTGTCTCTTAAAGCTGCTGAACTGGGTGCTGGAGCACATGGGGGACTCTCCGAAGAAGACCAGCCTGCAGGGCGTCCTGTCTGCTGGGAAGACCAAAGTCAGCTTCCTCCCTTATGACTGGAGCGTCAACAGCACCCACTGAGCATGCACAAGCAAACACGCTCAGCTATATGCTATGTTTCTTTGCATCTATCCACTTTCTACTGAGCTGCGTCTATTAAAAACAAAAGGACTGCGATGGAGCGTGCACCAAATGAAGTCCATGCAAAAAAAAAAAACAATAGTCCCAGAGGTGAGGGGGGCGTATTTGCACTGTATCATCAGATTCTACTTCTCCTGAAGGCTTGTTCAAGCTTTAAGGTCTTACTCTGAGCCCTTACACCTCATCTTCGGATGCCATATATAAATAGTACGTCGTGTTTTATGGGTTAGACGTCATAAGAACAGAGTGATTTGCACACAGAATACTCCAGCAGCGTAATTAATAGCATAAAACAGGACGTTAAACGTGTTGCATTATTAACTTTAATCCTCATTTTCCCTCCGGTCTGTGTCTGTGTCAGCAACTCAGGAGTCATAGATTATTGTGATCATGTTAGTTTATCCACGTGGAGCATTTAATCAGAGCAGATGAGGAGGATAACCAATCCAAACACAGCCTCAACAAGCCATATCCAACCCCTTTGAACTTCACGAGCAGAGCCTGTCCATCACTTCCACATTTTTAACCCCACAGGTAACAGTGTTGATGTTGCTTTCACTAGGGAAGAGAGTAATAGCTGCCACTTAAAGGGAATTCATTTAAAGCTTTGTAAAGAAACAAATCTGGGTTCGTGTGCAGTTGAACTACTATCAGGCTCTTTGGACAGATAAAACCTGGTTCGGTGCTGCTGCTGCTGCTGTAACTTTTCTTCCCATTTGTTTGGCACAAGATGGAGTACAGTGATCAACTACTGAATGATTTTTCTCTGGATGCTCAACCATCTTTTTTGATCCAAGTCTTCCACTGTAAATTGAAAAAAAAAAGAAAAAGTGCTACTGCTGTGTTTTAAGCACAGCTATTTACTAAAAACAAACACAATTGTGAACTATTGACATATTTACCAGAACTACGCCCATTTGGGATGCACTCGGACACTTTGCATGCTTATCGCCAACTTTGAATGCTACTGAAACGTGTTTGTACTTTTTTCCACAGACAAATGTTCATCGTCGGTCTGTATGTGAATAATCCAGCATGTCTGCAAATACTGAGAAAAAAAAAACTCAACCCGGTCGAGAGTTCTACTAAATCAGCTGATCACAATTAAATAACAGCCGTTTTCATTTATTGCTAGTATGTTGTTTCCATCTGAGCAGGTTTACAAAACACCAAAATTTACTTTTCCCTGGCCTTAAATGTTTTTACGATCACTTTTTAACAGTCACGATGCGTTCTCCGGCGTGCTGCCCACACATCAGGGCGTTGTTTTCATAATTTTTCTTATCTCAGGTCAAAGCAGAACTCGAGCGGAGCCAGTTTTCAGGTTGTCTGATGTCCTCGATGCACTGTAAGCTGCATGTTGTTCGCTCATGTTGTACTGTCTGTGTTTATTTGGAGATCATGTGTTTTAATTCTGCACATTACTGGAAATGTTTTTTTTTTTTTCCTTTAAAGCTACAAGCAGCACCAAAGCAAGCGGTTAGATGAGCATGTGTCAGAGCCGGAATGCAATCGCTGCATGAGCTCTGCTGGGAAACCCTTCGATCTTGAATGCTGGCCTGTAGCAGGACCGCTTCTGTGTCGCTGCGTCGAGTTCTTAGCCTGTAAACTTTAGCCATAAGAAATAGTTGGACCTAAAGCGTCAAACCTGATATCAGAATACAGTAGTTCCACGTCCGGTGAAGTCAGAATTAAATTGATGACTAAATCGTGCAGAGATGTTGAGATCGGCGGCACGTTTTCTTTGTCTTTAAAAACGAGCCTTCAGCGACAAAGTGCACCTTTACTGACTTATTATTACTCTGTGGACTCAAGTGAAGAGAAGACAAAGGATTTTATTTACATATATTGATGCTCCCTGTACTTTTTCAACAAAAAAAACAAAAAAAAATACCTCATGTATCAGGAAAATGTGATGCAAAAACTTTTCTAAATAAGCAATTCTAATATAATCGTTCTATTTTCCTCTTTCCTGGGGTTCAAGCAATATGTTCATGACTAGTAAATATGCAATGCTGAATTAAAAGGATATACTGAGTCTGCTCTCTCTTTCATCGCACCACCGCTCTCATGTTCACACTGAAACAAAATAAAAGTTTAGTTTCATCATTTGTTTATTCAAACAAATTTAATCACTTTCTTTAAGAAAAATAGACGAGGAATCATCGTTGTCTTTACAAATCCGACCTATTGACATTTGTACATATAAATAAGCAGGTTTAAGTGCACAGTCCCATAAAAACATGACATTAAAAAGTTATTAAACAGGTCAAACATCTGAAAAGTTTATACACAACAACCAAATATTCTACATCATGAAATACACAATCGTTGCGAAAAAACTGGCTGACTTATAAATGGAGAAACTGGTACTGTGTTACTGGTTTTAGTGTGTATATTCCTACAGCCTGAACACTGCATGATTCAGTCTTGGCACTAATAAAATCGTACATAATTCATTTACTGTACATAGAATTAGTCGGACAGTACGAAGGCAGATTTACACGGTTTCAGACTTTTTGGTCGCGGCTCTACATGATTGTTGTCATTCCTCGACCAGGAGACGGGTCAACAAAAGGAAAATCCGACCTTGAAAATCCTGAAGCAGCAGCACACACGTATCATGCCCAGAAACGCCTCCTGTTGAGTTTGTCTGTATGTGACGGGGGTCTGGAGGCTTTATTCAGAGTGGAAACACATTTTAACAGCATAGATCTGTGGGAAGTGGACACAGGACCTGATGTTACCGTCTATGGGCCTTTTATACATCCTCTATGATTCCACAGGTCCGTGCGCTGCGTTTGGAAGACGACACGTGCGAAGCGGACAGAGCATCACAAATAGTTTGCACACTGCAGCACACTCTGCCAATGACATACTGCATATACAATCCATCCTCTATGGACAGGCCGTTTTGCAAGTCGTGGTTTTGAACAGTAAGGGGGCCACACGTGGAAGAACTCTGTCACCGAGAGCTTCAGCCAGCAGGGCAGGAGTAAAACTACTCAGTTCAATCCTCAACCCAGTATTTTTAGAATACATTATTCTGCTAAGGAATAAACTATTGTTGTCCACATTGGCTTTGAAATGAACTAAAATCACAATCCAGTTAACAGAAATAATAATAATGTGATTGAATGATTTGTATGTCCTCAGGTGCAAATCACACCTAATAAAGCATCGTGTGGCTTATAGGTGGACGCAAGCATCATAGGAGAGTGTTTAACCGAAAGAGACGTAGATTATAAGTTATGATGAAAGGCTAAAACATAACAAAAGTTCTTAATTCATTGTGAACTGGGAGGTAAAAAGGAACGCTGAGGTTTTTTATGGCTGCATGTCCTCAGATTTATTCATAGCCTCCTATTAAAGAAGGAAAACAACAGCTGTCACTGACATAAGTTGACAAAAGTAATAATAAATAAAATTGAATGAACATCATGACATTGCTTTTGAATTGTGGTTCAACAGAAATATAAAAAAATAAAAATAAAAAAAAACAACAAGCATGATGGGACCCATAAACTAATCTTTAGTTGAACGACCCTTTGAGCCAATCAGGTGTTTTCTGTAACTTTAAGAGTTCTGCACCTGTTGACAGGTATTTTGTTTGTTTTTTTAAATTATTCTTTTTAACCACAATCCAAAGCAACATCTCATTTCACTAAATTATAATTTTGCAAATTTTTATTTATTATTACTTTTTTCAGTTTCTAGTTATTTGAGTGTGAATTTCACCTTTTCTTTAATGGAAGAATAAATCTGAGGACGACTGTAACTATTTGTACACAGAACACACGCGTGCTGTGTTTTCTTTTATTCCAGGGAAGTTATTCTATTTTTTCCTCTTAGTTGCCCGGCATTGTTCAGAGTTACTTCTGGATTTTCTGAGAAAACTAAACAAGTTTTCATGACCGATGTGTTTTGAAAGGCTGAATAAATACTGACTTATCACAGGTTTAAGAGAATATACAGCATACATTTGTCACACGTTTGTTTGTCTTTTGTCGACTCGACAGAGCGCACACTGATTCCAGGAGAATGGTGTCAAAACTATAGTCGTTCTAGGTATCAAAATTATTGCTTCAAAACTTGTATTAGTTAATATCCAATCAGACGTTTTGGCACACGTACCACACAAGCATCGTAACTGAGGATTGAGAAAGAGCTCCAGTGTTCGTTTATCTTGCTGATCCAGGTGGTCGCTCCAGTCGCAGGTCCGCTTCACACACTACTAACCTACAAATGAAAAAAAAAGTTTATCATCAGCTCAGATTTAGAAAAGGCTGGATGTATTTATGCAGCAACAGTTTAACACTTACTTTCATCGTCCGAATCGAAGCCAAAGAGTGCGGAGCAGGTGTTGAGGGCTTGGTGCTTCTGCAGCTCCTCTAAGCTGCTGAAGGAGGACAGACATTTGTCACAGCGATGTCTGGTCTTCTGCTCAGGCTCCACCTGCACCACCTGCTGCTCGTTCTCCTGGGCGGGGTCTTTCTTCTTCTTATGACTCCAGTAGACGTATTTCCGGGGAGCAGCCTCGTCTACGGACCTCCTCTTGCGCATTGAGAGCAGGGACTCATCCAGGTAGGTGGAGGGCGGCGGCCTGATGAACGGGGCTTTGACGAAGGTTGCGTAGGAGGGATCCTCGGGCTTGAAGGTTTTGTGCTCGGCGATGTGCGGCTCTCCCATGTTCTGCTGGACTCCCTCGGCCATAGTGGACATATCCTCCACATCTCGGACGTTTATGGGGTCCCAGTCCATGGCGGTTCGTTTCCGACACCTCTTGCTGGGGGTGGTTGCTGCATCAGCAGCAGCAGTGTGGGAAGTGGACATCGGCTCCTCATTTCTTGCCACATCTTCATATCCATTGACGGTGGGTTTGCTGTCGTCAGTGTGCTCGTTACTGGCTGTTTTCTCTGAACAGTGATCAGATCTTTCATTGCTGTCTAGGACTTCACAAGCTTGAGTTTCAGCTTTGCTACTGTCCCAGAGCTCCTGAACATTAGACGCCTCGACATCAGGAGTGGGACTCTCCCTTTGGCCCTTCTTATTCTGCAGCCATATCTCCTCCACCTTCACCCTCTGCTTCCACGGAGCTTCGGCACTTTGCTTTATCTGTCTATTGGGTCCCAGCTCAAGCTCGTCTTTCTGCGGAGCTGGAATGTAGTGTCTCCATTCGTGGTCGTAGAGGCCCTGAAGACTCGAGAAAAGCTTCTCGCAGTCCGTGAACGGACACTGAGGTCTGAAGGGCTGGTGAGTGCTAACGTGGTCTTTTAATTCCTGCTGCGTTAAAAAGCGCTGGTCACACTCGAGATGGTAGCAGAAGTGCGGGAGAGGAGTGTTGTGAAGCTTCATGTGGTCCTTGTAATGCTGAAGGAACTGAGTCTGCCTGTTGGAGAAAAGAACAGACACCAGTTATTCTAAGATCAGACTCGAGTGAAGAAGCTTAAGCAAGGTCAAATCATAAAAAAAAATTTAAAAAAATAATAAGTATATATGTAAATAAAAGCAGGAACAGTAAAACTTTTCCCATCTTTTAACCATGTCTGCATAGTAAAACATTTTTTTCTAAATAATAGAGCAGATAAATTAGTTAATTATTGTACTCGCGCTCCTTCTCACACTTGAGATTAAAAATTCAGAAACTGAAACTGGAGGTTGCGTCTTTACGTCCTAGGCTCGACTACCATCTACTATCTGCCTCTCCCACAGCTTTACCAACTGACACCTTTGATATCAGTATTACAACTTAGCTCCTATTTCTAGAGAATCTGAAGTGAACTCATACTTTGGAGCATTTGAGTGAAATGTTGTCGTTCTACAGTCGCCACAGAACGTTTGGCCGCTTTCGCGTCAACATTGAACACATGAAAAAGTCCAGCTGCTTGATTGGAGCAACACTTTTCATGACCTCCAATCACTTCAGTCTCTACCTGATGTAGAAGCGCTGCCAAGCCGTCACTCTGGTGTGAGGCTCCCTACACGTCTCTCTGTTGAATCACGAATTGAGACACTAGTTTTCTGGAAGGAGGTTTGAGCTGGTTTAGGGACTTTGTCTTGGATTGAGAACTACTGATAGTTCCAAATATGTTAAGCACTAAACAGCGGTTCTACTCCCTTCTTTACTTTTTGCTTTAAATAGCGTAGGCTGAGGTCATGTTTTGGTTAATGCAGGTAATACGTAAGTGTGTTTATAACGTCTGGTAGAAGTCCTCCTTTTGTTAGTTTAATCTATTTTGTTCAAAGAGCACCATCTGCCCTCAGTTCCTCCTTTTGTATTCTGTGTTAAATTTGTATTCATCTCCTAATTCTTAATAAAAAGCAATATTGACTTTGGCTAAACAGCAACCACCTGTTGGCTGTTTCTTAGCAACAGGATGGCTCATTTACAAAGTTAAGGTCATGCTAAAGTCCAGATAAGTGTGTGATGCTTCATGTTCAGTATTTCCTACCTGAGGCAGAGGGAGCACTTGTGCTTGGCCCAAACGTAAGTCTTCTCCAGCACCTTCTCTTCATTAATATGACACTTGATTGCATGTTTCGTCAGCGTGGTGCTGATCCTCAGGAACACTCTGTCACAGGACTCCGATGGGCACAAGTGATACGTGATGTCCAAACCGTAGCCGTTTTCTCCTGCAGACATCTCTTTCCCCTCTTCCTCTCCTTCCTTCTCCATCACTGATGGATCTCTTACAATCACCAGGCCGTCTTTAATGACTACTTGCTCGTCCTTGAAGTCTACCTGCTTGAATATATTCATGTTAGGGTTCTTGCATTTTTTGTGAAGCACAGAAGTCTTTTTGATGAGCGTACGGAGGTTCCTGATGATTCGTTCTTCCCTCTTGAGGCTCGACACTTTCATTTTGCTTCCAGGTTTCTGTTCAGGAGTTTCGGTATCAGAAATAGAACTCTGATTTTCGTCCTGAGGCTGACACTGATTTTCCACATTATCTACGACGCCATTAGCAGCTGGCGTGTCCTCAGTAGTTGGCGCCTTATCAGGGGGCTTCTGCTTACACATGGCATCAATGTGATCCAGGACATGCTTTTTGGCAAAGGGGAGCTGTTTAAAGCGTTTTCCACACAGAATACATCTCAGTTTTCTGCTCTTGAGGTGTGACAGAGCGTGCCTCATAACATTCAAGCCCTTGTAGTCCTTGTGGCAGACGTTGCAGTGGTACATCAGATGGGCATACTGTTGAGTGCGGAGAACTCTGTCCTTCCATGTTTTCTTGGCTTTCACCTGGATAAAAGAAAACAAGTGAAATCAGTTTCAGAAGTGAGAGAAAAAGTCAGCAGAGTGTCAGAAAGTACCTCATGTCTTTCAGTCCTGCTTATTTATATGCAGAGTCAGTATAAGTGTTTGTGCGGACATACTGACAGCACCGCAGCACAGTTTCAATTGAATGTATTCAAAGCTAAGTGCTGCTAATGCGACGTTACGTCTGACAAGCAGAAAAAGAGACGGACCCATTTAGAAACCATGTGTCTAGTAATTACTGCCTTACATCAGGAAAAACCTGTTAATTTAGGACTGATAATTTACCTCAGTGTTGGAGACTCTGGCTTCCACTGCTGGGTGGGGCTCCGGTTCAGTGTTGCCATTAAGCTCCTCAGATGCAGCAGACTCTAAAGGCTTCTCACAGTCAAGCTTTTTGGATTTAAGGGAGTAATTGTGTAACAGTTCCACTGGACAGTCCAGTAGCTCTAAAGGAGGACCATCCAGCTCAGGATTAGCTTCTACAGCAGCGTGAAGCTCACTAGGAGGACCTTCACACAGCTGGGACATGAACTGTGTTTGGGATTCCTCTTGGGTTTGTTCACTGAGGCTGCTGCTACAAAAGATGTCAGTGTGTTGTCTGTTTTCTTTCTCAGCGTCATCCATCTGATCAAGTTCAATCTCTTTCTGTTCACTGTTGTGTTCAAGTTCGTTCTCCAGGTGAGGCATTTCCGGCTCGTTGTCCTCTGTGTCAGTGTTATCCTCAAAACCAGACTCCTCCTCGGTAAGGAATATTTCATTTTCAGGGTAAGAGAGCTCCAGTTTTGGTAAAGGCTTCCGACCCCGCTTCCTTCCTCTAACTTTGACCTTTATCTCTTTGACAGTCTGTACTGGGTCCAGTCTTGGAAGACCCTGCAACCATCTTTTCTTGCGACCTTTCCTTTTCAAAATTTGGCTCTTAACACATCTAGACAAGTATTCTCTTTTGCGGTTTAGAGGGAGCTTTACAGAAGCAGGAGTTTCCATGTTAGTGTGATTGCGTCGTAGCGAGTACACGGGCTTATTGCTCAAAGAGGTGGATTCCAGATTGTAGCTGATCTCTGGATCATCACAGACGTCTAACTCGTCATCAGATGTAGGTTGTTTTCTCCTCCGCAGCCTTCTCCTCCATTTTCTCCTCTTCAGAGGAGCATTATTTGATGGAGCAACACACTTTCTAGCCTCTTCATCAACAGTTTGCTCTTCTGGGAGGTTTTGGTTCGCCAATACAGCGTCAGTGCAGTGGCATGAATGGAAATCTTGAGTGCATGAGTCATTTACACAGTTATTTGTTAGCAGCTCTTCGCTGTATTTCTTCTCCTCTTCCTCTTCCATCTCACTGAGAACAGCAGCCTTCATGACCTTGTCACTCATCAACTCCAAGCAATGAGTCCTGAGGGTGAGCAGGTTCCAAAATTCGGGGTCAAAACACAGGCGCTCCTTGAGCCTCTGAAAAACAAATATTTAAAACACATTGGTGACGAATCGTAATGTGAATATATCCAGAATATCACGACATGTTCTGATGTTAAAGATGCTCTTCTCCCACTCCTACCTGCAGAATATGGAAGCGAACACTGGTGCGGACAGGGCTGTTGTGTGGATGCGGCTCCTGGTCAGGGTGCATGTAAAGCAGGCAGACAGTTCGATATGCCTCAAGGCTTCGTTCCTGGCAGAAAACTAGAAGGGCACATGCTCGACAGATCTCCAGGTCATGAGGCAGCAGGAACGCGATGGTCTTGCAGACCAGTGACCGGGTTACAGTGTCTGCCTGCATGTCACACAGCTGCAAGGCCCTGGCACAAAGCTCCACACAGACCTGGACTCCATCAACACCAAGCTATTCAAAGAAAATAAACGGTAGAGAATAAAACTGGTGAAAACAGCAGACAGGAGAATCAAATGACTAGAGACAAAGTAAAAAAAGCTTTGATTTGATAGCACAGTCACTGATTACACGTCATTTGTTTAACACAAAGAAACATCTTCAGATATGATAAAACGAACAGGTTTTGTTTTAACTGTCCTTTAAACACCAGATCAAAGCTTTGTTTTCTGCACAGAGTGACAAAGTAAGGAACAAGATCTACGTCGGTTATTTGCCTGGTAATACATGTTTCAGATACAAGCTTTAGACAAAGTGCAGAATGCTTTTCTATTGCTTGTTGTGCGGTGCCCGACTTGGAAAAAGATGATGCTGTGATTGGAGCCTCACCTCTGTAGTGACCAGTTTGATGAAGGGGAAGATGGCTCTGACATTCGTAGCAGAGGAGGCGAGCTGTAAGCACTCAGCCAGAAAGCCTTGCCTGGAGGGATGAGCCCTTAGATGCAACCTGCTCCAGATGAACACCAAGTCCCTGCAAGACAACAGCAGAGCGCGACAAGTCAGAGCAGGTTTGCTCGTGTATACTGTATATTTATAAGGAAACAACTGTGATAATTCCTAAAATAATAATGGAAATACCATGGCAACAATTCCCTTTACTGCCATATTTATGGATCTACCCAACACACACTGAGCCAACCCTACATATTTTAGAGAATCTGCAGGAGCATCAACTGTTCCAGTGTAGCATTAGTGATCAGTAATTAGACTGCTTCACTTTTGTCACACTTTTTGAAGACAATACTTTCAATGAATTCACTTACATTGACCAGCTATTAATGGCAAACTAAGAATCTAAAACTAAATTCTCTCATTTACAAACGTATTTTATACCCAGTGGAACGGCAGATTGTGATCAAGTGTATACTGCCTGCTTTATTTATCCTTGAGATGTGGTCTGGACAGAGTTCAAATAAAGCACCGTGTATATGAGGTAACATATTTCTGTCTGCATGTCAGGACAAAAACCTGAGCTGCAGTAAAACTATACCAAGGGCAAAGGTATCAGGTGTTTGCAGGAGCAAAGTGCTGCCAATATTTGTGACATGAAAGATGTTTGGAACCAACAGAAATCCTCCTAGAGTTAGCTGACCAGTCACAATAAGTTACAGAGCAAGAAGGACCTTGGTCAGAGAATCCAGTCCAACAGAGCTTCAGATAGATAGATAGATAGATAGATAGATAGATATAACTTTATTGATCCCTTTGGTAAAACCTCAGGGAGGATGAATTCATGAGTCCTCTGCAGAGATGGAAGAACCTGCCAGAGCAGCAGCAGCACCCCATCAACCAGGCCTTTATGGTGGAGCAGCTAAACAGAAGCTACTTTTAAATAAAAGGCAGAGCACATGTGCCAAACAGTATCTATGAGGATAAAAATTTAGAGCGATGAGACGATTTTTGGCAGAACTTGATGCACCGTGTCTGGCAGAAAACAGGCTCCCGTCATAACCAAGGTAATACCATCCCTATGGTAAAGCACAGTGTTGGCGCGATGCTACTGGAGTATTTTTCAGTGGCAGAGACACAAAGACTGGTCAGAACTGGGAGGAGGATGAATGCAGCTAAATTCAAGGAAGTTCTTGGAGAAATCAACATGTACAGCATTACATACTATAGATATTGTACGACTATTACTACGACTCCTATCTGCTCTGAGCACGCTTAGGTTTGGTTAAGCTTTCATACAGGACAGAGTGTCACAGATAAGTTGTGAAAGGACCATCAGGAAGCTGCCTTTCAAACCTGTTGGTAGGCTTTGGGGTTCAGAGGGTTAAGGTTCTGGATGCAGAGATTTCAAATTTGGATTTGGAGTTAATTTACAAAAGAAATCTAAAGATAAAATAATCAGAACAAAGCGTGTCTGTAAAGTATTCACACTCTGGGAAATTTGTAAAGCCGCTGTACATATAAAAAGATCATACGTACCAGATGTAGTACATGTCTCCGTTGTGTAGCTGCTGGGTGAGGAAAGCTTTACACAGTGACAACAGCAGCTCATCTTTTTCAACACTTTCGGTGTTGCAGATGATCTCCACAGCATCACGGCCATCTATCTCCGCCATCTGAGGAACAACATATAAAGATTCTAACGTTATTGAAAAAAATACAACAATAATAACAAATAAGAAAAACCACAGAATGCATTTGTTCAGTACTTTTTTCCATCCTTGTCCACCATCTAAAAGGGCAACCCCACAACATCTCATGCCACTAATGCTTTCCACTCTGCTCTTCATCTCTCACCTCCTTGTGAAGGTTTTCGTGCAGCGAGGCCTTGTAGAGGCAGGTCAGGTAGGCCTGATGGAAGAATAGATGTTTTCCAGCCTCACGATTTTCCAGGCAGCTTTTAGCCAGAGCCATGGCCTCCTGCATTCGCTCACAGGCTTGCAGATATCGAACCCGCAGCTCCAAGAACACTGGCAATTCTGAGCTCAAGTAGTTTTCAACTGTACAGCAGAGAATCATGTGTTAATGTATGTGATATTACATACAACAGTGAGCAAGAGTAACTTTAAAATCACACCGATGTTGTTCTCATTAGCGTTCTGTACTAGCCAGTAAGCTTTATCAGTCTATGATATAAAGGTTTAATGTATGACTGGTCCGTGGTGGTCAAATATTTAAAGAATATATAATAACAACACCAACAATAGTCATCTTTCTGGTGGGGACTAGCGAGGGCAGCAACGTCTGATCATCTAGTCGAGTAACGGCACACATCCCTAGTGATTATAACAAGAACAAGTTGGAATAACTGAACAGAAACTGAGCTTCTCCTCTTGACAGTGTTAGTGACGCTGCAGTAGTGCTTCATGAATGATGAGCGAGACAAGAACACAACCTGTCACACCTGCTGCTAATGAACACGGCTGCTCCACAGAACTGTGAGCGCTCACTGCTCCTCGTCTACCTGTACCTTTCCATTTAACCGATTATGTTTGCTGATGACAAAAGACAGAATAGTGGTGCGCTACTTGACAATGCAGTGCTCGCTATATGTATGCCCTATTCTTCAATACTAGCAACTAAATAGGACTGTGATCCTACCCTCATTCGGTGGCAAAACTGCCCCCTTTAGGATTCCTTGCAGCACTGGACTCTCCCACGGGCCTCCTGCTTTGATAATCTGCTTCACATGCTGAAGGTAGATGTTCCTGTGCCGCAGGAGTTGACAGTGGCACCCCTGCAAAGAGAATCCATTCAATAACTTTGGTAATAACACACCACTTTTTTGTGAATGTTGAATCGCAACAAGGTTTAAGATGGGCTGGTCCTTACTTGTCATGTTAATTTGATCAAAAAACTCTGGTGTGAGACCAACCTGGCTGAGTTAGAGTGGTTTTGATAACTTCAGCTTATAACTGAGCACAGTTATATCAGTGGCTGGGTTTTATCAAAGGGTGTTGTGTGAGTAAGAAAAATACGGATTGAGACAGCAGGTCAGTTTTTGTTACCTGAAAAGAATCAAGGATGTCTTTTAAAGGCTCTTCCACAAATTCCTCCTTGCTGAAAAACAGCATCAGTTCAAAGAAGCTCCTGCAAGACAATGAGAGAGAAATTAGTTTGCCAAAAAATCGTCTCACAGTAAACGGGATGACAGCTCTGTCAGTAAATCCAGCTCATCAAGCCCTTTGCAGTTCTATTCCACACAACTGCTACGGTCAAAGAGTAGACAATGACCTCATTACTGAGCTCGTACTCAGCAGATGATTCAGCTAAAATACTCATTAGCTGTATTTCCAGTGTTTTTGTTCTAAAAGAAACAGGCAGAAAATATAACACTGCTACAGCTGCTAGACATTATGGGAAAGCGGTACGCTCCAGCTCTACCCAACAAGGGTACAAGGTTCCCACATTCGGTATGGTCCGTGGTGTAGTTTTAGTTTACTTGAGGGGCAGCCTTAAAGTCTGTATAAAGCAAATTCAGTGATTTGTCTCTAAACAATTCTACACGTCAGAATACGGTTGCTGAAAACATGTGAAACGCCTGTGAACACAGCTGGTGCAGTTCACTGGGGCCGGTGTGGAAGCTGTCAATCAGCACCCTCAGCAGACAACATGCAGATATTTTCACAATTTTGACTCGTTTTTTTCAAATGTGGCTCAACAACACAGCTTTTTATGGTGTGACCAAGTCAAATAATTACCTCTACTTCACAGACCCTAACATCTCATTAAAACTTATACTGCAAGTTTATTTACATCTCAAAACATTCACAAACACTGAATCCACTGTAGTGCAAATGTGAATATCTTACACTCCTAAACACAGATTTTCTTTTCTCCCAAATAGCGTTGAAGTTAGACAAACCCATCCTGTATTGTTGATTTTTTTTAACCAACTTGTTATTCAAAAGCATAAGCTATTCCGATGAAATGATAAAGTCTACCCAACATAAAAATAAAAACAGACATGGGCTTCATACAAGAGTCACTCCCCCTAAAACAGAATTATGAAAACACAACGAGCCTGTTCAGCAAAGGCTTTCATCTAACAGACTACTCACAAGGCCAGACTGCTGAGAACATAGTGGATGTGCTGACAGTCATCAGGGAAGGCAGTGGTGGCTTTGGTAAAGTTGCTGAGCGCCGTCCGCAGCACCTTCAGCTGCGGGAGAGGAACTTGCCATTGTCCCGTGTACTCCTCGACCAACTGTGCAGGGACAAACACAAAACACCACAGAAATATTATCGGCAATGTAGACACAGTGACTCAGTTTCAGAGCTGGTGTGTGTGTGTGTGTGTGTGGTTTCAGACACAGTTTCACAACTTCACCACTCTGGGTGCGTGACATAACGGTGGGTATCTATCAGCTCATAAAAGGGAAATCTGAAGTTTCATTATTAGTGCTGCTATGATTTAAATTAACCAACAATATGCTCATGGCTGATGGCTGGAGAAAGTCCAAATCATCCCACTGCACATCTGCATTTTCCCCTTTATCTTTGACACTATCTTTTTATTGCGGATAGTGAAATAACTCAAATTGCGTTTATCAGTATTTCTGGGGGGGGACAAACAAAAAAAAAACATAGCGCACCTTGTATTGCTAGAGAGAGAAAGAAAAAAACGCTACTGCTTGTGGCTAAATCCAACTTAGTGACCACGAAACATCATTTTCTCGTTCTCCTGACCCGGCATCCTAATTATTAGCATCACTCCATGCTGTATCTCCCTCATACTAATACACTGTTTAACCTCATACCATTGGGTTAACTAGCTTAGCCTAACTGACCAGCTATAAAGCTAACTATTATCAACTGTCAGGTAGAAAACATTGCTAGTACGTGGCGTTTCCAAACCAGGAGCCCAGTTTGTGCCTAACAAAATCTGGTTAACTATTTGTGTTTAGTTTCTGGTGAGCTATGCCACCGTCTTTGATACACAACTCCATAAATAGAGCTAGTCTGGAGGCTAACGCTAGCTAGCGAGGCTAGCTAGCGTTAGCAATAAACACACACCGACTCGGCGGGGCGCCCGACAAAATGACCGCAACATACCTCACAAAACTCAGAGCAATAGCCTTTGCTGTTCAGAGACGACTCGTCGCTGCAGTGTCTGACACACAACGTGTCCAGGGCTAATTCAAGCCCGTCTGTTTCCAAATCACTCTCGTTGTCCGCCATACTGTCTGCTGTATCCAGCGCATAGTCAAAGATGCCAGGTTTGCAAGGCATCCTCCCAAATCCCCCCACAAGGCTCCACCAATCTGGCAACCGCGTCGAAACAAACGTATTGGGGCAAGTTATCACAAGGGAGCAGGGTCTAATTTGACCTGTTGAATATCATCATGAGATTTCCCCGATAGGTTACATAAACTTAGGTAATTATTTATGTAACCGAAGTGTTCTGAAATTGTGATATTTAAAACAAACTGATTATGATAATTTTGATATTAGAACAGAAATCTGAACATTGAATAAAACCAGACTCTTGTTTTATTCTGTTAACATATTAGAATTAAAGTTTTTTTACAGACTGGATTTTGAAAGTCTGTTTTTATTCCTTCATATGCTGCATCAAAGGGGGGAAATCAATTTTTGCCATGTTTTAAATTTAAGGCATGTTCTATAAATCATGCTATGAATAATATACGAATAAACATCTCTGTAAAAAACAAAATATAAATGAGAACATACCTCAAAGTTTAGTATACTGTATGTAGGTGCCACTGAAGTGGAGAGTTAGTGTGTAAGAAAAAATCAATCTAAAAAATAAATGTTTTAATATATATAATACACGATATGTAAATCTTTATTGAATACCACTTTACTGATTTTTGTAATATTTATAAGTTCTGTTAATAATGCACAAGCTGTCTCGTACAGTCCAAAGATTGTGAAGTTACACATGGACGGTCATATGGTGTTTCTACATTGGCAGTAGTTGTGAGCCTGTGTGGTCGTCGGCGTCTTCGTGACCTGTCCTGGATGTGACCCACCTGTCTCCAAATGTCAGCAGTGATGGGCTCCAGCTCCCTGCCATCATCATCATCAGTAATGTTCTAAACACTAGAGGAATATAAGGAGATTTGTCAATATTGTCATTTGAGAAACATCTTCTGTGACACACGATGATGCCTTTATTACCACTGCTCATTGTTTTATTCTGTAAGTTTATTAACATGTATCTGTTAATGTAAATCAGTAAAATACAAGGTTTAGCCTGTAAAGTATTATCTGTTAACAATTATTAATTGAACTGAATTCTTTTAATGTATTGAATTATTGATGTGAATTTAAATGGCCGTCATTGTAACATTATTTAAAAAAAATCTTTAACTGTAAATGTGTTGTTGATAATTTAAAATAACAGTTAAAAATATTTACCATTTTTCAGTCCATAAAAATAATTGTTCTTTCTAATAACAACAACAAAATAGTGTTAAAATATCTATCTTTAGCTGATTTAAATACAATAAAATAGTGCAATTTTACAGTCAAACATTGTAAAAGAACAAAAACATTTTTAGTGTGGAGATTATTTTCAAATTTTTTTTTTTTAGGTTAAAAGTGTAAAGTGATACTTTTTTTTTGTGATTTTAATACTATTTATTTGTAATTTACCAAAACAGTGAAAATCCATAAAATAACAGTTCATAAAATTACAACAGAGTAAGTAAACTGACAGAAAATAGTTATAATAATAAGTAATAACTATTACTTAAATAATAAGTAATAAATAAATAATACGTTTTTTACAGTGTAAAGTTTAATTTCAGTTTTTATTTGTATGCATGAACAGCCTGATGGCAGCCGTTGTATTCTTTATAGCAGCCTCCTCACACAATGCTATAATTTCATTTAGCAGATGCTTTAATCCAAAGCGATGAGAGTAGATACAACACAAGCAAGGCAGTAGTCAGGAGAAAACAACCTGGATAAGCGCCATGAAACAGGTTCAGGTGTGATAGGACCTCGGTGCCTACAGGCGGTATGAGAGGTAATAGGATTTCTTTTTTTCTCCTTATAGTGTTTGTGGTGCCAGTAGCTTCACTGGCAGGTTTATAGCTTTACCAGCAGTTTTGTCAGTACTTTAAGAAGCTTCATCAGCAGTGAAGGTGTTGATTCCACAGTTTCAGTTATTACAGGTACACGTGTAGCATCATCAAGAGTGGCAGCATCTGAGCTCTGTGCTAAGCTTCAGCATCCTGGATTACTGAACCAAAGTCAATGAGTTTGACTCCACAGTGCCAGTCTTTTTGATTCGCCAACATGACGTTATGTGGTTTGATATTTGCATGAATTGCACCAACATTCTGCAGAGTCTGTGAGCAGCTGCAGGCACAGAAAATGAAATAAAGAAGCCACAGTTGGCATTTTGTTGTCCAAATGTTAGCAGGCTACTTCCATCAATTTGATATGTTGTGGAAAACCGCAGATAAATTTTGCCGTGATTGCTGGGTTGTAAAGCAATCAAATCCACTTACCGGCTGAGTGATGGGTTTGATTTCCTGAAGAGAGAGCGGCTCGTCGTGTCTCTCCTTCAGCAGCTCATGTGGAGTCCTGTCTGGCATTTCACATCATAAACATGGTGATTTCAAATTCTCAGAATAGTGAAATATGTCGACCAGTTCAAGGCTGTGGATTCTTTTTCAGCATGGCCAGAGAAAACACAGAAGGTAGAGTTGTTTAACAATTCATAGGTATGTCATAAAATGTGATACTCAAAGACTCTTCCTCTCTTTCGAGCTCCTGGGAACGCAGGTTTTCTTTCTGAGGATCTTGCTGCCTATATATCTTTGGTGTCTATATTTCTGCAACAAGCAACTCCACTAAAGCAGCTTCTAAACATGACGCTGATCCTGCAGTGCACCAGGACTCACGGTGGTAACTTTTTGTCAAGCCTGGTACATAAACACAAAGAGAAAATGTGTTAAATTCATTTGAGTTGCTAAAATAAACCTGGAATCTGCCGACCTGTCGTGTGTCGGTGGACATTGTTTACTATCAGATCCTGTCATCGTGAATCACTCTAATTTAAGGACAGACTTATCGTCTCCGCTGCTGTGTGATGGTGGCAGGCATTTATTAAAGTCAAAGCAAAGATCTTGACTCTCAGCCAGCAGTGGGCAGCAAACAGGACTCCGAACTGAATGTTTTTGCTCCCACTTGTGAATACGAATTTCTTGTATTTTTCCATCATGTTCAGAGAAACAATTACTTGTGTAAACTACAAACTTGTGTGTTCTGTTGTGAGTGTGGATGTTTTGGTCAAAGACAGGCAGTGTTAGCGGGAAACAGGCAGAAATAGGAGAAAGATTAGGGTTATGAAGAGGAAAGAGCAGCAAAAAGGCTTTTTGTTACATGAACAATTAGGAATAAGGAAATACTTGTGTACACACGCCTAATTTGTTTATGTTAATAACACGATTTTATGCCACAGTACACTTATTGTCATGATAGGAAGAGCACAGATCACTCATATTAACAGTATTACTTATTTTAACAATGGCTGCATCTCTGCAGGTGTCCCAGTAAGACATAACAATGTGACAGCATGCACAGTGAATGTATTATTTACTCTGCTGAGTTTCCTAGTGTGACATGTCACAAATATTTCTGTGAAAGAGAGGTCTTGCTTGTCTCGTTTTACAATTTAAAGTCTCTCTGAGAGAGACATTTTAACGTGCCGGGTCTGTAATTTGCTGTTCATCAAAATATTTCCACTAATATCGACATCATGAAGCATATGAGAGGCCTGTGCACGTTACCACAGTCTCTGCCCGACGCCTGCACTGCTGTCCTCTGGGGAAAGAGCATGTTGTGCTGCAGCAGCTTTTTATGTACTATGGATGCAAGCTGGGCAGCAAGTTCTGTTCACAGCAGATGTAGGCTTTGTGGGTTTGTGAAAAGCACCTCACAAGCCTGTGTGTACATGGACACGGACCATCTGTTATTATAGCCTTTAAGTTTTATATTTCAGACTCTGTAAAATCTGTTGAAATAAATTGGACTTGTTGTTTGGATGTGCAGTTTTTGTAAAAAAGGAGGAGACAATCTCAGAAGGACTAACCTGATAAAAGCTTCCAAAGGACTTTTCTATCTTCATTAGCACCACAACATCAGTTTGTTTTCTTCCCTTATTTTTAAACTAGATGACAGCATTTGAACCTGATCCTCAAGCAGTCATCACCTTATGAACAGTAACTGAAAAGACAGAAGGGAAACAGGAAAAATCACACAGCTAGAGTGAATTCAAACATTTAGTTTTAGGTTTAATGTTCTCGTCTGGGAAATATTTTCCTATATAAGAAATCTTTTCTATGAACATTTGAGACAGAGAGGACTTGGACATAAATTTTCATTCATTTTATTTGTTGGATTAATGGGGCTAAATGAATAATGTCATTTTTCCCCAGATCGTTGAATCTCTTCGCTGTAGCTGTGAAAAAGAGCGATGCAGTTTATCACCATCGAACTGGTGAGTCTGTAGTCCTTCAGGCAGCCACAAGGGGGCATTATATCCTCAGAATATGGAAAATATCCCATCCAATCAGCAGACTGATGTAATATAACATAACATTCATTTACACATGCATTTATCACCGACTTGTCATCTCTGTTGTCCCTGCTGCCACTTGCTCCATACAAACAAGAGATATGCTCAGACGCTGTCCTCATTTCACTTGTCTGCTCAAACGTAACACAAAAAATACTGAAGTCACAAACATCATGTCAGTTGTGGACCATTTATTATTGATTATTTAGACAGTGAAAGACAAAAGAAGAGACAGTACGCTGCTCATACTGCCAGAGATGAATGTAAGTACAGTATATGACACACCTTGTATCATCTCACTGGCATACAGTACACCCTCACACTTGACTCATCCACAGTATTTCCATCTACATTACCATGTGCCCTCTTGGAGGCAGTAAAGAAATAGTAGTTCTATTCCAAGTATTCTGAGTGGGAGTAATGTAATGAGGATTTCTCCACCAGTGACTCTCACATTCATTAACCTAATCCTGCCCGCGGTGTGGGAGTTGAGCAGGATGGGGTGTTTAATGGCTCCACTAACCATAAATAAATGAACACCTTAGAAATAACAGAGGAGATTGTGCAAAATATTAAATAAAGTGGCAGTGTTTTGTAGAACCTGTAACCCAGATATCCTAAACTGTTTGTGAAGTAAAACATTTTTGCAGTGACAGTTGACTACTTCCTTTTTAAACTGGTCTCATCGCATTTTTTTTTTAAAATTTTACAATGCGTTAATAATGGTATGACCCAAGATCACAGAACAGTTTCTTCACACTGACGACATTCTTTGATGTTATTTTAAACACGGTATGTTAACGTTGGGCACTATGAAGTTTATGAACATTAGACCATAGCTGTGTTCCAGATTACATACAGTTTCTTTTTACTTTCAGCACATACTGCAGCTGCCTTTACCAGGTATCCACTACGGCATGCAGTACGCGTACAACTCGGACGTACCACTTCGTCATAACATTGCGCCTTAAGCTTTGGTCATTTAGCTCATTTATTCCTCTCAGTCTGTAGTGCAAAATGAGCTGTCTTCTGTCTGCACGCTCTCCCAAGCTCGCTTATAATCACACAGGACACAGTATGTGACATATCTTCTGCTGCCCAGAGGACTGTAGGTCACAATGGCAAAAACGTATGCTGGCATTTACTGCAAAATGCAACCAAATGTATGATCACATGCTGGTATTTTTGGCATACTGCATTTGACATACTATGTATTGGGACATACAACATATTTTTGTGGAAAAAGAATATATTATGGCGGCATGTGCCTTAAAACACATTCCTTATCTTTCCACTTGTAGATTGTCAAATAAATTTTGCCATTGCCGTTACCTAACAAGAAGCTTGAACCATTTACAAATGTATATTTAATATTTGCTGAAATGTAATGCAGGGCTGAATACGCACCGTCTTCAACAACGACTTCTGTTAATGATCATCGCTGCAACAGTCAGATGAAAGTCACCCTCCGTGATGTCATGACCACATAAAGTAACAACTTGGTATGCTGTGGTATTTTACACATGTTCTGTATTTTAGCCGGCAGCGTGGACTCGACAGAGGGGAGGTCATTTGATGGAACAGACATAATGGTCAGCTATTTCAAGACCTTTAAATGGGGCCGATCACTAATGCTCAAAACCCAGACCTCAAAAAGGTCAGCGATGGCCCATTTTCTCGAAAAACCAACATGGCAGTGTCCCTTCACACACACACCAATTAACATCAAGGAGATCTCCGGCTGTTCTATTAATAGCAGGACTTGGATTTCAATGTTTAACTCTGCTGCAAAGCTCATTGCTGAGCGGGTGCCATTTAGGCTGTTGAAGTGGCTGATGGAGTGTCAGTCCTTTTTCCTCAGTGAAATGAGTCCTTCTCAGGCACACTGAGTCAGTGTTCAGTCAGCGTTCTCTGACCTCAAGCCACTAGATTTGTTCACTCTCTCTTGCATGTGTATGTTACATGGTGTATGGATTAACTCATGCATAACTGACTATCAGAGGTAATGACTGCACCGAACAAGTCTTTGGAATGCTTTTTTGAAGTCCTCATTAAAGATGGTGTAGATGAGGGGGTTGATGAGGGAGTTAAGGTAGCCCAACCATGTCAGAAAGTCAGCCATTTCCACGGAGGTACTACAAGAACCGCAAGTGTTGACGATCACCTCCTTGACAAAAAATGGCAGCCAACAGATGACGAAGGCCCCAATTATCAGCCCCAGCGTGGATGCCGCTCTGCGCTCCCGTGCACCTGAGATTCGGGGTCCCTGCTGGAACTGGCTTCGACGTGACTCGTTACGTGTTTCACGCCGGCGTGACTTGCAATGGACAGCCTTTGCCGAGGCGCGCACACGTTCGCGCGGAGGTTCCTCATTCGAGGGTTCAGAGTAAGATTTCTCTGGTGGGCTCACGGGCTCTGGACTTCGAGGCCCTCCATCGGCATTGCCGTCTCCAGCTGGGTAGGACGATGGGATCATGCTCCCATTGGTCATGCACGAGTGACGGCTAGCCCTGCTAGCCTCCCGGCGCATGTAGAGGGTCTGAGCAGCCTGGTAGATCTTATAGTAGAGGATGAGGATGAGCAGCAGGGGGATGTAAAATGCTCCGAGTGTGGAATACAGAGTGAAGGCCATGTTATGGTGGACGATGATGCACTGGTCTTCATCATCTCCGTCCTCGGTGTAGTGCCGCCACAGCAGAGGAGGAAGTGAGATGAGGATAGATAAGACCCACACCACTGACACCATTGCACCGGCCATAGCCCCCGTACGTTTACGAGAGTACTCCACGGCATCAGTGATGGCCCTGTAGCGGTCAATGGCGATGGCAGCAAGGTGCAGGATGGAGCATGTGCAACAGGTGATGTCCACACTTAGCCAGATGGTGCACATCACTGGGCCCATTCCCCAGCTCTCCTTCTGGATGTACATGATACTGAAGGGCATGACCAGAACAGCCACCAGCAGGTCGGTCACAGCTAATGAGCAGATGAGGTAGTTAGCCGGGTGGTGAAGCTTGCGAGTGACTGCAATAGCTGTGATCACTAGACAGTTGAGGAATGTAGTCACGACAGCCAGCACTGACAGGGTTATGGAGAGCAGGATTTTACTGGTGGGGAGTTTAGTGGTCTCAAGTGAGTCACAACTGCTGTTGTTTGTGGCAAACACCTCTTCAGTGCAATTGGGGAAATCCATTCTGCAAGCACAATGGAAAGAGAGTTGTGCATTAGACAGGAAGGTTAGAGAAGTTACATTTGTCAAGTTATTTTCAAGAGAAAATGCATTTATTTGAAGTCTAGATTTATTTGTTGTTGTGGAATCCGGTGGAATTTAAAGAGCAAACATTTCAAAATGCTGTAAAATTCACTTTTTGGAAGAATCATACATTTTTTCCACCTCTTCCTCTTCTTCTTCTTTCACAACCAGTGATTTGGCTTTTCTCAGGATGAAAAGAATGCTTTCATTCAAAAATGTGCTTTTAAAGATAATGGAGTTTAAAGGCTATGTTCAAGGTTTCGGAGCATTACATCGTTGACAAAGCTTTGAAAATCTTGTCTTACACACAAAAAGATTTTCAAAACCCAAAAAAGTAAAAGAAACCGGTGATCCAATCGTACCTGTCTAAGCTGTGAAGTGTTGCATCCAGTTGGTTCAGAGTGCAGCAGATAGTCTGCTCTGATCTGTCCTGCCAGGCAGATCTGCCATCACATCACCTGTGCCACTCATCAACACCTAGGAGAGAGGAAGAGTTAGAGGAAAACTGTGAAAGGGAGAGGAAATGGGAGTGGCAGAAGAGCGAAGCGAGAAAAAACACTTAACAGCAACAAAGTGAAGATACAGCCAAGGACAGCTACACTCATACAACAGCAAAGAATCACTGCAGATCCACTGAATAGGAAGAAATTCTCCTTTCAGGCTGACCGTATTCAAAAATGTGACTCCCGTACCTCTAAATATCATCAATGCAGTAATTCAGTTCAATGCATTTGTCAACAATGTGATTAATGTGAGTTTTCTGTTGGACTAAATGCTGTTTCAGAGGTCTTTCAAATTTTGTAATGCAGTATAAAAAAAAAACACTTTAAAAATGAAATTACTGCCATGAGCACATTCCAGGAAATACAAATAACACCAAGCAATTATTTTTCACATCAGCAGCTTCAATCTAAAAATACATCTGTTTGCTGTAGAGTAAGTAATGTGTAGTGGTCACCCACTAATTTAGCAGCTGGCGCTATGATTACATCAAAATGCACCGATACGACTGTCACTGCGGCTCTCCTTCGCTCTCTGCATTGCTCAGTATCCTGAAGACATGAGTGGAAACTGTTGCTATAGAAACACAAGAACTACAGTACTTTTACTTAATGTGGTGATGGAGCAGAGGCAGCCAAACTGTCAGGTCTCTGCTGAGACCGACGGAGTCCCAGGCGGTGGGTCCGGGGCCGGGTGGGTGGGTGAGTGGGGTGGCGAGGCGACGCGACATCTGAGTGAGATGAGAGGTTTCTGTTCACTTAACTGCAACTCGTGGCAAAGTGCCCGCTAATGTAATTTGCAGCAAACAATGAGGAGCTCTGCGTAGCAACAGTTGCAAAAATGTAGGTGAAATCGCCGTTACAGTTACATAATATGTAGGTGAAATTCGCCAAGAACAGTGCAGAGGCATGTGATGAGTATTGTTCCACTACTTCATTCAAGGTGTGGGCACTGGCCTTGCCTTAGCCAGTCTGAGTCACCTCCCTGATCTCTGCTTCGAGCGATGATTTTACTGTATAAGAGGAACCAGATTTCTACCGTTTATAAAGCATGCCGACACAAAAGAACCCTCTGGATGATTATTTCTTTCTGATAAATTATGTATGCTTTATTTTTTGCTGTATTCGCAGTTTGTTGGCAATATAACTTTTCCCAGCTCACTGTTGACAATGCCCAGCGTGGAAAACAGTAGTTTTGGGGTGTTAGGAAAGGCTTTATAATTGATTTTCAGGCTCAGTACAAGAAAATTACTTCCGAAAGTGAAGTTTCACCAACACTTTAATAAAGCCGCCTCTTTGCTGAGAAGAGTGATTACGCCACATTGTCTGAAAAATAAATTTAAAAAGCAAATCTAATCCTGAACAAATTGATTTGCTACTGTGAAGTAAACCAGTGAACCCTATTTTTCTCTTCATACCTATGATTTCGGTATATAAAGACAATAAAATTGCCTTCCCCTGCCTCTACATTCCTTCCCATTTACCCTCAGATGAGTTTGGAGGAAAACCTAACAGTGCTTAAAATGCAGATTACTTTGTGCGGATAGATAAATGATGATTACCGCTGTGTTTCTTTAGCGCTCTTTGTCACTGTATTGATGCATTCTCAGCTGGTGCATCTGAAAATGGTGTTTTTTTTTTCCCAGTGTTGTGCACAAACATATATTTAGACATACAGTGTGGGCATAGTGAGGAGTGTGTTTTTTTTTTTTTTTTACAGAGTGTGCGTCTCAGCGTTTATGCATATGCAGTGATTGACGTATGCATGAACAGTGTCAGCCTGTCATTGCGCGCAACAAAGAAATCATCTGCTTTTGTCCTGGAACGTTCAAAAACACACACACACACACACACACACACACACACACACACACTGTTCAAGGCCATCTGAAGATAAGCTCCAGTGAGCCAGCATGAATCGGGTCTGTTCTGATCTCCTTTACTCTTAAAAAACCCACCGCGTTCGCACGAATTCAGCAGGCTGGAAAAACGGCTTCATTTACTCACTCACAGCCACATTGTTTAAAAAAAAATCATACTGTAGCTTTCTAGTTTGTATTTTTATTTTTTTACAGTGTTGCTAAATTATTTTCATTATTCCCAATTATCTAGCCATTATGGATGGGCTGTGATAAGACAAAAGAGCCACCAGCATCGCTAAGTAAGTTATAATGGGCTCTATTAGCATTATCTAGTATTAGCAGATTTACTCAGCACTCAAATTACTCTATATGTTTTCAAAATTGAAAAATTTGGAGCAGCAAGGTTATTATGTGACCGCAGCATCCAGCTGCAGCAGCGTTGCATGAATCGGCTTCTCCTGCTCGATTCAGAATGTGCTGATTACGACGAGGCTGACAAAGCAGAAAACATGCTAAAACACTTTCAGAGATGATGCCAAAGAGTTTGATTAATCCGTCTCCAACCACTTCCTGTCACTCACAGCTCAATCACAAAGGCAAAGCACCTTCAAACTTTAACATGCTGTTTATAAGGTGTGTACGCAAAACATTAGCCGCACTCTAATTTTGAGAAGGATGGCAATCAGCAAAGAGGATTTTTTTTTTTTCTTCTTCCTTTCTCCTTGTTTCTCCTCTTACAAGAACCGGAGAGCTGCAGCTGTCACGTGGAGCGCAATCTCTAAAACACAAACAGGCAGGACATCAGGCTGCCAAGAGTTGCTGTGAGGGAGAAGAGTTGTGAAAAAGCCGATTGTGTGACTGACAGCTCTGGAAAGATGCAAAATAAACGACTGCGAGGGCACTGCGAATCACATTCATTTGCTGATGTATCTCTCTGTTTATCTGCTTTCATCTGCTGCTGTAACTGTTTCATTTTGGGGTGTTGGTAAATGACAAAGTTGGCCGGAGAAACTGCTGCAAAGAACACGGTGTAAGGAGGTGAAATAAGGTTTTTTTGTTGTTTGTTTGTTTGCGGTAAAGTGGCGCAAAACGTCATACAAAAGTGAAACACTCATTCCAGCTTCCTGCATCGGAACAGCGACCGAAGCGTCATAAAGCAACATAGCAAATCGTGTTTTCATGGAATGGCGATGAATCATATGAATAAGTAAAGGGCACAGCATAGGCTGCCTGCATGTACTAAACACCTCCCTAATACTCCACTGTTCTTTTTTCCATTCTGCTCTTATTAATATTTAACCACACTGTCACAGTTGAAAGTACTTTATGCAGATTAAAGAACTCTAGCAAAGGACACGCGGTTCCATATGACTAAATGATAATATGTGCTAATTACATGTTTACATCTAATGCTAACTAACCTGCATTTCACACATTATTCTGAAAGCACTAAATTACCGTTGTGTGTGTTTTGCAGCAGTCGACTGTTCTCGTCCCGGTTTCAAGCTCGACTGTATCGCCTTATGCGTGTCACAGCCGGGGTCGCCCGCCAAGCAAACGCCCGCCACGTCGCCGGTAGCTCTCTCTACCTGCTTCATGCAGATAGAGGTATTAGTTGGAGAGATGCCCCCCGAGGACTGAATTTGATGGAACTGGTTCAAGCACTCGCCGGCGCTAACGGAGCAGCTGTCGTACATTTTGTTGTTGTTGTTGTTGTTTTCACGCTATACTGCAGGTGAAGTAATAATGGTGACTGGGTGTTCGGTGTTGACAATCGCCTCGAGGACGTGAATCAAAATGGACCGCTGGGCACGATAATACGAGTCTACTGATGTGTTTAAATACCTGAAATGCATTGACTTCTTCCCCCTCACTGGACAATCCGGGAGACTATGCACATATTTTTAAAAATGTGACTACTCATGCTTTAAACGTAGAGTATGTACACTGGTAGAACAGGTCCGCTTGTCCTTTCTGTTTGAGTTTATACAAATATCTTCTGTAATCCGTGTGCACTAGCATGTGGACACTTAACCTCTAAGCTGTTTTTAAGCACATCCCAGACTAAAACATTTAAGTTCTTTAACAAAATCAAACAAAAAAAACAAAGAAAATCCAACTAACCAAATAACACAAGTTTTAAATGTTCAGTAAAATAAAGCTTTTCAAAGGTTTCCCATGTCCTCCAGCTCCTTTCAGCTCTACATATTGCACAGATCATTAAATCCACCATGTCTACGCTACCCCTGGTTTTAACCCCGTTCCAAAAGGGCTGCTTCAGCGTCTGCAGCTTTAAATCCGACCGAGCTGCCGCTGCCCTCGCTCCTCTCAGCTTATCCTGTTGTGACATCACATCAGGCTGTGAAAAGGGATTTACTACCTTTCTTTTTTTTAAAAACTAAATCCAGAAATACCAAATTGCATTAATAAGTGGTCGCAGCTGGGCTAGACACACGCAGGCCCGATTCCCACCAGCCTTGTTCAGTCAAATCCGTACTTAAATAGACCATTTGCAGAAAGGATCAAGTTGGCTAAAAGATCTCATCAGTAGCACACCACGCCGAAGTCAAAAGGAATT